TAAATAGTTTTACTTTATATGAACGATGTTTTGCAATAAAAAGGAAAATAAACTCAAAGATGACAAAGGACAATTTATTAGGAAATAGATAAAGGTATAACTCTGCAACAATAACAAAAACCCACAGGAGGACATCATTACCGTAGAAACATGTATGATTGCATGAAGGTAACCCTACTTCGTGTACAACCAGTGAAGTGAAAAAATGTGCTCCATTTGTATACAACGAATCAAAGAGCATTCTGCTGTCATGTATACCTGATGAGAATTGAAAAAAAAAAACCCACAGGAAACCAAGTGGCCTTCTGTCAGTAGCCCATAGGACAACCATGAGGTCCTTATGAAAGCCAGAAGGACGCCGGTCAGTGTTGGATTAGCTGCTACTCGATCCAGTCCATGTCCACGTCTACCAACCAGCCTTCCAGCACAGGGCCGCATGGCTCAAGCTAGTAGGGAACACTGTGGGGTCCTGAGACGCCTGCCTTCCGCCAATCAGAAAGCGGGCGCAAGGCCCCACCCACGCCACGGCCAATCGGAGTCAATGCCAGGCCACGCCCAAGCCACGGCCAATCAGAGGGCCAATGCTAGGTCCCGCCCTAGCCACCCGCAGCTGACCCTAACCTTAACCCCGCCCGGCGGGCCCAGGCGCGGGCCGGACTTCGGCCCTAAGTAGACCTCGGGGTGGTCACCGCGATGGGCCCGGAAAGAGCTGCCCACAGCAGGTCCCCCGAGGTCGCGCCGCCGACGTTCACGCTCGTCGCCCCCGCGCTCTTCCTCGGAAACGCGCGCGCCGCGGGCGCCACGGAACTGCTGCAGCGCTCGGGTATCACGTTGTGTGTCAACGTCTCCCGCCTGCAGCCCGGCCCAAGCGCGCCCGGAGTGGCCGAGCTGCGGGTGCCCGTTTTCGACGACCCGCACGAGGACCTGCTGGTGCACCTGGAGCCCACCTGTGCCGCCATGGAGGCCGCGGTGCGCGCCGGTGGCGCCTGCCTGGTCTATTGCAAGAACGGTCGCAGCCGCTCAGCCGCGGTCTGCACTGCCTACCTCATGCGGTACCGCGGCCTCTCCCTGGAACGGGCCTTTCAGGTTGGGCTTCCGGGGCGGGGCCCGCTTCGAGGGTGCGTCTTCCGGTAGGGGGCGGGGCCCACCCAGAGAAGGCCCTCTGGCTTGACTGGGCGGGGCCTCTCCGGCCGGGGCGGGGTCCGCTCGGGGGCGGGCCTTCTAGCTGGGCGGGGCCTGCTCTCAGGGGCGGGCCTTCCGCGCGGCTGGTCTCGCCTGGCGTGGCCCGGGTCGGAGTTCTGCGAAACCCGCGCGGGCTGACGTTCGGTTCCTCTTTTGTTCGCAGACTGTCAAGATCGCCCGCCCGGTAGCCGAACCCAATCCGGGTTTCTGGTGTCAGCTCGAGAAGTACGAGCAGATCATCCAGGCCCAGGCCCGTCAGGCCCACGAGGTCCACCAGCCCCACCAG